TAATCAGTTAAACTAGCTAGCTGTTTTTATTGTTGACGTTTTATTAAATTTTTATATCTAAATGTTAGTGAAAAGAATTTAAAAAAAAAACTTTTAGATATCAATCCGCATATGTGATGGACATTGGTTATCATCATCTTTGGTATCTACTTTTAAGGCATCTAGAGTAAAACAGCTTCATATTTAACAAAGCATATGCAAAACGCTTGAACCGGAAGCGACGAGACCTGTTTAACAGAATACAGAAGTCTGTCATAAACCCTACTGAAATAGCACAGACTAAAAGACCCATCTTGGGATTTAAGAATCTGAATCAATAACAATTTGTTAAAATGAAGATACATAAAACTAGGAGCGTTACGCAGATATATTTGTTCGGTACACATGCATGCATACAGAACCGAAAGACCCCTACAAAAAATTTCCGGTACGTTACAACGCTAACACTAAACATATGAAGTATAAGATGTTTTACCTGACTGCAGTGTATCTTGAGTTTCTGCAGGCTTTGAAAAACTTTTTGTCTCCTTTTGACTACAAACTCCTCCTCCTTCGTATGTAGAGAGTGTGCGATTCTCACCTCACTGCTCCAATGTAGATATAGACAGACATACTAATATTTCGTATATTTTTTTAATATTAGATTTGAATACAGTTAACTTAATTATGAACAGATCGCAGAATGATCCAGTTTGTAATAGACATTAACTGTGTTTATGCAGTACTTATGTACAATTGCGATCGAAATTATTCAACCCCCTGGAGACCGTAATAATTTACAAATGTAAGCTTTTCTAAAGATTCAGATTATTATTATATATTTTTTTTTTTTCCAAAAATTGCATCTATACAGTTTAGTAGCAAATTAAAAGTGATAATGTCAATATATATATATACACACACACCTTGCTACGTGTACTGCGTTAGGCTAACCGGTTGAGTAATTCTGTACGTTAATGTTTAGAGCCAGTTAGATTTTTTTTTATTTTTCATCAACTTTACGTTCTCAGAATCACTCAAATGTGTGTTAATAAACTCTCTCTCTAATAGTTTACTGATGCTTTGGTTGAATTGTTTTCATAAAACTTTGTTCTCGGCAGGCGGCAGCAAAATGTCTCGCAGGTCAAGGGGGTTGAGTAATTATAATGAAGTGCACAGATTTCATCATTGCTGGAATCTGAGCAGGATTACAGACCTTTCCTGGAGTTTGGATGCACTCATCTGTAATACAAAAGAGTCAACATTCAAGTTACACAATCCTACCTCAAATATAAATTATTAAACCAGTGTTTTGTTTTTTCTTTAAATGTAAGTTGCTAACAGTGGTAGTTCTAGATTTAACCAAAGCAATAAGCCCGAAGAAGCTGTGGTTTACAGTGGCTTTATAACAGTTAAGGGGCGTGGTTAAATCTAAATATTGAGAAAATCATCTTTAAAGTTGTTCAAATGAAGTTCTTAGCAATGCATATTACTAATCAAAAATTAAGTTTTGATATATTTGCAGTAGGAAATTTACAAAATATCTTCATGGAACATGATGTTTACTTAATATCCTAATGATTTTTGGCATAAAAGAAAAATCAATAATTTTGACCATACAATGTATTTTTGGCTATTGCTACAAATATACCCCAGCGACTTAAGACTGCTTTTGTGCTCCAGGGTCACATTTATGCTATTGTTGTCACTTAGAAATATTAAGACATTAATTCTAATTGCCTGTTGTAAAAGCTTTACAACATATACTCACTGTTCTTGTCTAGTCTTGAAAATTCCAGAGATTCACCAACAACAACAGCAACCGTTTTCTCTCGGATCGGGCAGAAGATGCTCTTTTATAGGACTCTAGATCTCATCATGAGGGGTGGAGATGATGAATAGATGATGAAT